GGGGCCCCCCGTCGTGTCGAGTGAAGGGACGTGGTCAAGCAGGGGCTCCTGACGAGGGGGATCGGTGCGGCATGGAGCGTTGCAGCATCGATGATGCACCTTGGGCCTACTCTTGTCCTCCTCCTCCTCCTCCTCCTCCTCCTCCTGCTCCTCCTCCTCCTCCTCCTCCTCCTCCTCCTCCTCCTCCTCCTCCTCCTCCTCCTCCTCCCTCCTCCTCCTCCTCCTCTCTCCTCCTCCTCTCCTCCTCATCGATTCTCCTCCTCCTCCTCCTCCTCCTCCTCCTCCTCCTCCTCCTCCTCCTCCTCCTCCTCGATACTCGGCCCTGGACCCCCGGCCCTCGATCCTATGTACTGCTCGACCCTCGACCCTCGACCCTCGCGACCCTCGACCCGACCCTCGTCCCTCGACCTCTCTCCCGCGGTCCGCCGGGTCTGCCGACATCCGCAGGAAGATGTGACCTGCTCCATCCGCGGGCCCCAGCAGTCGGGACCCCTTCCCCGCTGGAAGCATCTCGCCCCAGAGCCACTTCTGCTGGCCCCTGGGGGCCGAAAAACAGCTTCTCGAGGCCGAGGCCACGGAAAACGCATTCACTCGAGCCAGGCATCCAGGAGCACGCGTCGGCAAGGAACCGACAAAAACACGCTACGCCCCCAGACTCCGGAACCGAAATTGCCCGCATCTGCATCTGCAGACTTGCCAAACAAGAGGTGGTGGAGAACGCAGAGGGACTTCAAGAGAACGCAGAGGGATTTTGTAGACTCGTCGAACCAATCAAGTCTTGGGCAAATCGATTGTGGAGGAAACTGTTCTCCCCCACATGCTTAGTGGGGTTCTGGTTTTCTTCGCTCCCGCGTCGCACCCGCGTCTACTCACCCCTCTCCTCCTCCTCTTCCTTCTCACACAGCACCGCTCAGCTCAGCACAGCACCGCACAGCCGACCGCAGCACAGCACAGGACAGCGCAGGACAGCACAGCACAGCACACGCACAGCATGCCCCAGTCGTCCAAGCATAGCAAACATGTCACTTTCTCGACACTATAGGGGGTGCGCAAAGGGGGGTCTTTCACCGCGGCCTCTATACGCCCCAGTCGTCCACGCACAGCACGCATGGCATTTTCTCGACACCATACGGGGTGCGCAAAGGGTGGTCTCCCACCGCGGCCGCCATCCGTGAGTCTCCCACCGCGGCCGCCATCCGTGACGGTCGCCCAGGGCACAGCACGCATGGCATATCCTCGACAGCATAGGGGGTGCGCAAGGGGGGGTCTCGCACCGCGGCCGCTATCCGTGACGGTCGTCCACGGCACAGCACGCATGGCATATCCTCGACACCATAGGGGGTGCGCAAGGGGGCGTCTCTCACCGCGGCCGCTATCCGTGACGGTCGTCCAGGGCACAGCAGACATGGCATGTTCTCGACACTATACGGGGTGCGCAGAGGGTGGTCTCTCACCGCGGCCGCTATCCGTGACGGTCGTCCAAAGCACAGCAGGCATGGCATGTTCTCGACACCATAGGGGGTGCGCAAAGGGGGGTCTTTCAGCTGCTCGATATGCGCAGGGGGTGGTGTTCGCAGGGGCACAGCTGCGCATGGCACGGTAGTCCAGGCACGCAGGCATGCATATTCTCGACACCATAGGGGGGCGCAGGGTGGTCTCTCACCGCGGGCCGCTCTCCGTGACGGTCGTCCAGGGCACAGCACGCATGCATATTCCTCGACACATAGGGGGTGCGCAAGGGGGTCTCTCACCGCGGCCGCTCCGTGACGGTCGTCCAGGGCACAGCACGCATGGCATATTCTCGACACCATAGGGGGTGCGCAGGGGGTGGTCTCTCACCGCGGCCGCTATCCGTGACGGTCGTCCAGGGCACAGCAGGCATGGCATATTCTCGACACCATAGGGGGTGCGCAGGGGGTGGTCTCTCACCGCGGCCGCTATCCGTGACGGTCGTCCAGGGCACAGCAGGCATGGCATATTCTCGCACCGTAGGGGGTGCGCAAAGGTGGTCTCTCACCGCGGCCGCTATCCGTGACGGTCGTCCAGGGCACAGCAGTCATGGCATATTCTCGACACTATACGGAGTGCGCAGGGGGTGGTCTCTCACCGCGGCCGCTATCCGCGACGGTCGCCCAGGGTACAGCAGGCATGGCAGATTCTCGACACCGTAGGGGGTGCGCAAAGGGTGGTCTCTCACTGCGGCCGCTATCCGTGACAGTCGTCCAGGGCACAGCAGTCATGGCATTCTCGACACTATAGGAGGTGCGCATGGGGTGGCCTCTCATAGCGGCCGCTATCCGTGACGGTCGTCCAGGGCACAACGGTATTGGCGGGGCAACGGCCACCAACATCATTCTCACATGCTTCACTTCAGCTATCATCACTCCAACCATAATATAAGTATGTCGGGTTCCTCGGTAGCGTAATTTTTGAATCGGCGATAACTCGGGTTGTCCGGGGGGGGAGGAGGGGACCGGCCGATAACCTAATCTTCGCGCTGTGGGCAGCCCTGCATATGCCCGCGCCCCCCGACCCCAGACCTGCACAGCCGGCAGGGTTAGGTTATCCTTGGGGGAGGGGGTGGGAGGGGGGCCAGCCCGATAACCCGGGTTATCGCCGGACCCCCCCTGAAAACAGTCTCTAGTCGATCCCCTCCTTGAAAGGGCAAGCTTTCTCATCCCCGAGCCGTCTCCGGCGGCCCCCGTGCCGAGGGGGGGCAGGGCGGGGCCACCCGTGGAGCAGGCGTAGGTCGGGCGAGTCCCCCTACGGGCGGACATTGGACGAAACATAAACAATAAAGACTCAAATAAAGACTCAAATGCTTCAACAAAAAACACTCAAATCCTTTCTATAATACATATATAGCAAAAAAAAAAACTCAATTGTCAACATCTTCCTCGTGTACAAGGACGTGCCCGACTTCAGAGAAGGCCCGAGGCCGGCGCAGAGCCTCCGGGGCCGGGCTCCTCCAGGAGGGCACCCTTTTTCCTGGACGTCCGACCAAAAGGGGGGCGCGCCGGCAGCGAAGAGGACGAAGAGGGAAAGCAAAGCTGATGAGTCTTGGGTTTGCGCTGGTCCTCCTCCCCCCTCCCTCCTCCCTCCTCCCTCCTCCCTCCTCCCTCCTCCCTCCTCCCTCCTCCCTCCTCCCTCCTCCTCCTCCTCCTACTCCTCCTCCTCCTCCTCCTCCTCCTCCTCTTCTTCTTCCTCCACCTCCTCCAGACGTCGTGGGTTTTTCAGATTTGGCGGCGAGCGAGGGGGGGAGCAGGAGAGGGAGGAGGAGGAGGAGGAGAAGGCCTTCTCAGAAGGCGGCGGGGCTTCTCCGAAGCCCTCGCGCCTTCCGAAAAGTTCCCTGTGTCCTCGGGGAAGACTCCGGAAACTCCTCAGAAAAGGCGAGGGGGCTTCCGAGCCTTCTGGGAAGCCCGCTCTCACTTCCCCCCCCTGGGCTCGCCGCCGACAAATGGACCAAACAGGTCGGGCCCCTCTCGGGGATGTACGATAGGGGGGGGGGCGCCCACCCTCGCAATGGGGTGCGCCCGACTAGCCCCCTTGGGGGGTGCATCCCCGAGTCTCCCCCCTCTTCTGCGCGGCTTGGCTTGTCGTGGGAAGGTCGGGGGGCGGGGGGCGAGAGGTCGCCTGCGACCGACACGGCGTGGCTCTCGTTGCCGACGCGGATGCTCCGGCCCCAGGGGCCGGGCTTTCTCTCCCCGCGATCGCCGTGGACGGCCCCGGGGGGCTCTGCAGCGGCACCCGTAGACCAAGAGAAGCTGCAGCAAAAAGCCTCCCGTCGGGTCGTTTACCGTTCACGACGCGAAGCTGCCAGGGAGGAGCCCTCTCCCTCGGGCGCGCGCATCCATGGGCCCGTGGAGCTGCGGGTCGAGGCCAAACACATAGAGACCCAGCGCGGCCCGCTCTGGCGACGAGGCGCTTCGCACCCGTGTGGCAACGGCACCCATCGCGGATCCACGCGCCCGGCGGTCGGGAGCTTCTGCTCGGCGGCGTCGCCGCGGCGGCCCCAGCGACGCGCTCGCCCCTGGCAGGCGGACAGCGCGTCGCTCCGCTCCGAAGGGCGGGAGGCCGAGACGTGCTCGGGACGTTGACGCTGGGGGGGCTCGGGCAGTGGGCAAGGCGCGGTGAACCAGAACGGGCGGAGCGACACGCTGAGCCCAAGGTCCTGACCGTAATCCGTGTTTGCGCTTCCTCGGGAGGAGCCCTTTTTTACCTCACGGCGACAGGAGTCGGCGGCGAGCCAAGGGGGGAGGTGGGAAGGAGAAGGCCTTGTCAGAAGGCTCGGAAGTCCCCGGCCTCCTGACACACGTTCTCAGCCTTCCCCCAAGACGCGGAAGACCTCTCAGAAGGCCGGGGGGCTTCTGAGAGGCCCCGCCGCCATGTTAAGGGCCTTCTGCTTCTCACTTCCCTCCTTCGCTCGCCGCCACCAAACAATGTTCTAAGACCCTTTCTGTTTGGAGCCGTCTGGGGGATTCCAGGCTCTGGTCTCGAGGCCTTTTTTTGTTGGTCAGCCCCCTGGGGGCCGTTTTCGGAGGCCGCTTGCGGGGTGAAGAACTGCACTTAAGTCGAGCGTGTCCCTCTACAGGAGGAATATCCAAAAACAACCACAAAAAATAATAATAATAATAGTAATAATAATAATAATAATAATAATAATAATAATAACAGTAGTAGTAGTAGTAGTAATAATAATAATAATGACAATAATGATGATAATACGAAAATGCAATATCCATGTGGATGTTGGATCCCAGCGGCATATGTGTCAGCCGCTTCGCGGGTGACGCTGGACTACCTGAAGTAATAATAATAATAATAATAATAATAGTAATAACAATAATACTAATAATAGTAATAATAATAATAATCATAATAATATGGTGACATTTTTTTGATATTTTCTCCTTCTCACTTCCCCCCTTAGCTCACCGCCGATCCTCGAGAAGAGACCTCTCCCTCGTGGCGGCCGGGAGGGGGCGCCCGAGAAGAGGCGCCTGCGAGCGCCAGCGTGGCGCCCGGGCGGGCCTCCGCGAGCGCAAGGGCGGCCTGCCGCGAAGGGGGGGGGGGGGGGGGCAAAGCGGATAGCGACAGCGCGACTCGAGGACAACGACGACGTCGAGGACGGCGACAACGACGACGACGCAGACGAGGACCAGGACGAGGACGACGACGAGGACGACGACGACGATGACGACGACGATCGACCAGTACGAACGACCACAGACGACGACAGCGACGACGACGACGATCGACAACCACTACGGACGACGACCGACGATAAAGACCACGACGACGACGACGACGACGATGATCGACGACCACTACGGACGATGACAGATGGCGACGACGACGGCGACGACCGATGACGACGACGACGACGAGGACGGCAACGACGAAAACGACGACGGACCACGACGACGACGACCGACGACCACTACGGACGAAGACCGACGACGGCGACAACGACAAAGACGACGACGTCGATGACGACGACGACGATGATCGACGACCACTACAGATGACGACCGAAGATGACGACGACGACGAAGATCGACGACGAACACGGGCGACGACCGATGACGACGACGACGACGATCAACGACCACTACGGACAACGAGCGATGACGACGACGACGACCGACGACGACGATGACAACGACGACGATCGACGACCACTACGGACGACGATCGACGACCACTACGGACGACGACAACGACGACCGACGACGACGATGAAGACGACGACGACGACAACGACGACAGCGACGATCGACGACCAGAGACGAAGACCGACGACGACGACATCGACGACAGCGACGACCGAAAACGACGACAACGACGACGACCACTACGGACGACGACCAATGACAACGACGACAAAGACGACGACGATCGACAACCACTACTAACGACGACCGACGACGACCGACGACGACCGACGACGACCGACAACAACGGCGACGACGATGACGATGACGACGACGACGATCGACGACCACTACGGAGAAAGACCGACGACGACGACGACGACGACGACGACGACCGCGACGACGACGACGACCGCGACGACGACGACGATCGACGACGACGATGATCGACGACCACTACGGACGACGACTGATGACGACGACGACGACGACGACCGACGACGACGACCGTATGCACGACGACGACGACGACGACCGCGTCGATGATCGACGACCACCACGGACGACGACCGACGATGACGACGACGACGACGATCAACAACCACTACGTGCGGCGAACGACGACGACGATGCCGCCGTCGCCGCGGACGGCGACGACGATGACTACGAACAGCGACGATCGACGACCACTGCAAACGGCGATCGATGACGACGTGGACCGACGAACGGCGACGACCGCCCCGCGTCCTCGGGGAGGCCCGCCCCCGCGATGCAGTTGCCGCCCATCGCCAGCACCCGCACGGGCGGCGCGGCGGACCTCGGCGGACGCGCCCGCTCGCCGGGCTCCAGGCGGGCCACGGTGGCCCCAGCTCCTCTCTGCGCCTTGCGTCCTCTTTGGCCCCCAGATGTCCCCAGGACTCGGGCCGGGCGAACGGGGGGGATAGCAAAGGGGGGGTTTGAGAATCAGCTCAGCTATAGCTGATTTTCCCGGCGCCTGCCGCCTGCCGGCGCCGGGAGGCGCCTATGTATCGAGGAATGGGCCCGGCGGCGGGGCCGAACCCAGCTGCACGCAGCAGATTTCGTAATCCCCCCTTGCCCTATCCCCCCCTTTCCTTCGGCCCGAACCCAGACCCCCGACGTCATGAATTTTTCATCACGTCGACCCCCAGCGGTCTGGACCCTTTCCCCGGGACCGGTTCTTCGTCCTGAGTCGTTTTTTGACGGTCCCGAGGGCCGGTAAGGGCCCCCAAAGGCCAAGAATAATGAAAAACCTCCCGTCGTGATTTTTCATAACTCGAGGGGGTCTGGGAAGGACGGCCTCAGGAAGGCCATGACGGCCTCGAAGCCGATTCGGGAGAGCCCAACGGGTTGCTCAACGGGTGGCCGGCCGGCGGCCCTCGGCGGCCCCCCCGGCGGCCCCCTCGGCGGCCCCCTCGGCGGCGGCCGCTGGAGCGTCCGCCGGCTGCGGGGGGCCCTCGCGGGAGCCCCGCGGGGGCCCCGTCTCGAGGCCTTTTGTTGCGGCCCTCGGAGGCCTTCGGCGGCCCAGCAGTCGCAAGCGCCGCCGGCGTCATCGCCGTCGAGGGTCGAGGGTCGGGGGTCGGTGATCGCCATCGTCGTCGTCGCCTCCGCCGTCGTCACCCAGCGCCGTCGTCGACGTCGTCGTCGTCGTCGTCGTCGTCGTCGTCGTCGCCCAGCGCCGTCGTCGTCGTCGTCGTCGGTCGCAGCCGTCGTCGTTGTCACCATCGCCATTGTCACCATCAACGTCCTCCTCCTCCTCTTCCTCCCCCGCAGTCGACCTCGCCCAGAATCCCCACCCCACGGGAGCTCTGTTCTTGGGCCCCTCCACTCGACCATTTCTTGTCAAAAACCCCCCCGCATCCTTCTCCTCCTCCTCCTCCTCTTTTTCGTCCTCTTCCATCTTCTCCTTCCTCTCCCAACTCCGCCTCCTCGCCCCTCTGTTCCTCCTCCTCCTCCTCCTCCTCCTCCTCCTCATTATCATCATCATTAGCATCATCATTATCAAAAGCCGCATCATCATCACAACCACAATCACAATCACCATCATCACCATCACCATCACCATCACCATCACCATCACCATCACCATCACCATCATCATCATCATCATCATCATCATCATCATCACCATCACCATCATCATCATATTAGTATTATTATTATCATTATTGTTATTACTTGTTATTATTAATAATTATGAATTTTATTATTATTATTCACACTATTCCTCTTCATCATTCTCCTCTCATCATCATCATCATCATCATCATCATCATCATCATCATCATCAGCATCAGCATCAGCATCAGCATCAGCATCAGCATCATCATCATCATCATCATCATCATCATCATCATCATCATCATCATCATCATCATCATCATCATCATCCTTCTCTTCCTCCGCCACCTCCTCCTCCTCCTCCTCCTCCTCCTCCTCCTCCTCCTCCCCATCCCTCCCTCCCACCCTCCATCCATCCCGCACTCCTCCCTCATTTCTCCCTCCCGCCGCCTGGGGCCCTGGCGATCGTCGCGGCCCAACCCGTGGGACTGGTCCGTCGGCGACGATGGTTCTCGGTGCCAGCCAGCATCACTATGGACACGCTCTGGGAAGCAGGGCCCTACGCTCGCAGCGGCACTAATTGGCATGCAGGCGGTGATCTCGGGGTGCCGATAAGCGGCGAGGCGAGGCAGACGAGCAAGAGACAGAGAGGGATCGGCGAGACGGATGCACACGGGCACGCATGCCGCACACCACTACGACGCTCGCGCAATAGGCTTAGGTCGGGCCTGTCCCCCTACATGCCGATTTTCGAGGAAAAATTAAAAAGTCAAAAATAGTCCCCAAAAAACATAAGAAACAAAACAAATAGTCCCCAGACTATGTTTTGCCAATGTTTGAATTTTCCTCCTGTAGAGGGACAGGCCCAACTTAACACCAGGCTGTGACTAGCCTGACGTCCTTGCGCAGCGAAAAGGAACAACGACGAAAAATGTTTAACAAACTTCTGTCTCCAGGAGGCCCCTTGCCAGGCCCCGGGGCCGTCAGGAAACAACTCAGGATGAAAGAGCGGTCCCCGGGAAGCGGTCCAGACCTCTGCGGAGCAAGCCTCGGAACTCGAGATGACACCTGTGCGCTCCTGGAACAATCGCCGCCTGGAGTGCTAGGCTGGCATGGTGGCGGGACTTGCCGCAGACAGCTGAGCACGCAAAGGATACATGGAAACACGTAGAGACACAGAGACGCACCAAGCGCACATGATGCGCGCGCGCACGTATGAAAGCACCTGCGCACGGAAGTGCGCCCTCGACGTCGTAGCCGGTGGGGGGCGCGACGGCGGAGAGCATCAGGGGTTTGGGCCCCTCTGGGGCCCCGGATCTGACCGACATCGGCGCGGTCCCCTGAAAACGCAGACCATATAATCCCCAAGATGGGGAGGACCGACCAGTGCGTCGGCCAGCGGCCACCTGCGCACAAGTAGGCTTCTTGGGGGGGGCCGGGGCCGTGCGCGCGGCGACACGGCGGAGCCAGTCAGTCGGTGGCGGGCTCGTGCTGGAACCTCACGCAGGCACCACGCGAGGTGACGCGGGGCTCACCTACAGGGAGCCACGCTGCGCGATCACAAACAAGCATGCAGACACGGTAACTAGAAGCGACAGGCACGAAGACATGAATGGCCCAGGGGAATCTAGCAGAGGCGATACATGAAATAAAAGCGTCTTGAAAACGGGTGATCTAGGTTCTGCGCCGCGCGCTCCAAAACGATGGCTCATTCGCAAGCACGCGGCTGGCTGCGTTGCCTCCCTGGCCATGCTCCAATGCATGGGTTCTGTTCTCGTAACTTGGCCCATGTGGCGCTGTTCGTTTGCTTGAGTCGGGCGTGTACCCCTACAGGCGAATTTGGACGAAAAATAAAAAACAGATTCAACAAATCCCCCCAAAAAATAATCAAACATGGTCGAAAAGTCGTCCCCAGACTATGTTTTGGCTATCTTTGAAGATTCCTCCTGTAGAGGGGCAGGCCCGACGGAACGTTTGCTTGGATGCACGTCCGAGCGACGCCGCGTCATCTGCAACCGCGCGCACTTCCGGGCGCGACCCGCAGACGGCAGACGTCGGCCTGGGAGCCTGGCGCGCACACCGAGCGGCGGCGGGGCCGGCCCCGAGCCATCGGGCCCCGCGGGCCTTTGGGGCCAGCGCGGTCGGGGGCGGAGGGGGCGCCACACACTCTTTGCGCCGGCGGCCATAGGCAGAGCGACTGCGCTGGCGAAGCGACACGCACACACACGCGCCACAGAAACACACACTCTCTCTCTCGCTCTCTCTCT